GAAAGCAAAATGGAACAAATGAATCTATCTGTATGCTGAAATAGTGGCATGACCACCCAGAGAATTATTTCAAGTGACTTTTAAACACAGTAATTTTACTGTACATCTCTAGTGGGATATACCTTAAGGGCCCTAAAGGTAACTGCAAAAATCTTAAACTATTTTCAGTAATCATATGGCTTAAGGTACTACTAGTAATGTAATTCTGAGGCTATTTTGCATGTACTGAAGACAAAGCAAATTAATTGTGCTTCATCAGTAGTAACCAAGATTTTCAGTTTGGAAAAAAGGAGACGGAAGATCAAAAGGTGAAACAAAAACTTTGTGTACTGAATTTTAATTAGAAGTGTCGGCAGGCACTAGTGATATATTTTACCTGTTGAATATATGATATACAAATAAATAAATATATGTGCATGTATTTCCTACTTCTGTCCACTGAAAAGGCCTAGCAATAGTGACCAACCCAATAGGAAGTGCTTAGGCTGAGGTTTCCACATGTCATTTTCCCACTTGAGGGAACCAGGGCTTCTTGCAGAAATGGCTGATTCCAGATGAGGGACAATAAATGTACAAGATGAACCTGGTACATTGTGTCACGCCAGAAATCAAGGAATTACTGAGGACTACTGAGATTACGTCAGAAAGACTCAAGAGCCAATATGAAGAAGCTAAAGATGGGGACAATCTGAATATCAATAAAAATAACCGCAAGTGATTAAAAGATGTCCAATTTGTTTAATCCCATAAATTCAAAATAATATGTACTTCCCCTTCCACCCTCCTCCCCCCAAAAAACCCCCACAATCACACTTCACTGGTCACCTTTGGAGGATGCTAGGTAACCACCTCTTTAATCTGAAAAGCGGTAAATAAGAAGAAAGAATATAACATTTATCCTACTTTTCCTGGGCAAACTGCATTTTAGGATTACCAAATGAGTGTTCAGGAAAGTTTTTCTCTTTCTAGTTACTAAACAAAGAAGAAATGACAGGATTAGAATATAACCATTTTGCAATTCCAAATTATGAAAGAATGAATTTAGGAAATAATCATGAATGGATGGGACTATCCAAAAGCGAGAGGCAATCAAAGATTTTCTGTGCTTCTTGATAGACATATACCACCATCTATAGAGCATTTTACAAAAAAACAAACAAAAAACAAAACTGGAAATATCCTGAATCAGATTAAGCCTCTATCTAACTACTAAATACAAGAAATACAACAGAGGAACACATTAAGTGTTACCATGGCGATCTAATCACCAAAATCTAGGCTGTTAGAAACTCTGCAGGACAAAAAGTTAGTTTCTTCAACAAATAAATTATAATTAGAGAGAGGGGAAAAACAAAGAAAGACAGAGACAGACATATGTAAGGGAACCTACAGATTTAAAGAGATTTAAGAGTCATAACAGCTACTTGTTGATAGTATGGACCTTATTTGAATTCTGATTTAAACAACCTATGAAAACACATAAACTCACTCCAGACTTCGATTTGATTAGGAACATTTGAACACTGAGTTAATACTCATAAGGAATAACGGTTCAATTTTGGGGTATTATAACGATATTGTGATTATGGCTACAAAAAGGAGGCTTTACGTATAGAGATATATATTGGAATATTTATGGATAAGATGATAAAGTGTCTGGAATTGGCTTCAAAATAATCTGGTGGGGAGGAAGTAGGTAGTATACAGATAAAACCAGGTTGTCTATGAGTTGATAATTCTTTAAGCTGGGTGGTGGGTATTATTCTCTCTCCTTGAATAACTGATAGGGTATTCAAAGAAGTGAACTTAAATACAAGATTCAGTGAAAAGGAAGTTTTGACAATTATGAAAAAAGTGGAGGGATTTGGCAAATGCTACATACATATCACAAAGTGGAGTGCCACGGCAAAGCGAATACATTTTTGAGAGGTTTAATGTTTAAATAGCAGTCATATCTATTCTAACATTCCTTCTATACATCAGCAGTAAGACAGGTTAGAGTTTCCTACAAATGCCTCCTAACAAAGAGGCAAGACCCTCCCAGGCAAGAATACATCCCAGCACCAACCAGAAGCAGCCACCAAATGAGAAAGGGCCGCGGTGGCAGCAGCAGATAAGGTGGGAGAAGTGCTGTGGGTAGAGTCTGACGCCCAGATCTGGTCAGTGTGGTTGAGGAGGGCCCCATTCCCATGGATGTATGAACCCACATGGTTTCAAAGCTTCCCCAGGAGTCTGTGCAAGTGAAGCAGCATGAAGAATGACATGTTGTCAACAAAAATGTGAAAGAATCCCTTTCGTGGAAAAAGAAGACTAAAATCTTATGAGGCTAGTGTGGTTATTTTTATTTATGTTTTTCCTGACATCATTATACGTTTTTTTTTTTCATTATACATTTTAAGTAATAACATTAAAATCTGATTTTAAAAAACAACACAAATATTTTTAAAGTAATTTTAAGGCCTATTAGGAGAGTACTACTCTAATGAGAGTAGCCTGAACTATGAAACAAAGACCAAGGAACAAAGAAAGAAAGAAATTCTGAATCTTGAAATGTAAGAGTAGAGCTTGATACCCTACTAGTTATTCATGATGACATTATTTTAGCTTTACTTTTTTCCCCCGTGAAAACCTGAAGTTCGTATCAGTGGTTCTCAAGGGAGGACTGCATATTTCATAGGAAGGAGGCAGCAGGAGGCAGCTACAATTTAAAAATAACTCCAGGTGATTCTGACGCACACTGTGGCCCCACTAGAGGACCACTCCTTTCTTGGAGGTCCCTGTAGAGTGGCTGGCTGAGGCCTATGTGCAGTTAAAATGCACCTGAGATCATCAACATGGAAAGCTGGCCATTACTACTTCAAACACCTCTGTAAACTCAGCAGAGCTGCCATGTCAGACAAAGAACAATGAAATCTCCCTACACTCCTTCACAACTCAAACCATGTCCCTGACTGCCCAGCATGAGGGCAACTTCGCGCTGTAAGATAGTAAAATAAAAGCCAAAGGGGATCCCGCTGCAGGCCATCTGCTGACAGGTTCACACACATATCTGCCTATGTGCTCCTATTTGGTGGAGGGATGATGACAGACAAATGACTGCAGTGCTCTTTGCGGTCAAACTTGTGAGCATCATCGAAGAGGACTTGAAGAAAAGTATTTGACCAGACGCCAGAAACACTTCTTGCATCTCTGCAATCTTCTTTCATCCCCTGATATGTCTGAGACTATTATGGCTTCTGATAATGCTGACTAACTCAGTTTAGACAAAACATACAGACCAACAACAGCATCCTTCACTACAACTGATCCCAAGCTTCATTCCTGCAATGGCCTTTCATGCCAGATAGAGCTGTTTCTCTGATAATTACAGTGTCCACAAACCTGTTCTTCTCCAGTAAGAAGGGGGAGGTGCCTTCTATACAGCATGCTCAAAATGCAGTGCACTGGGCTGAAGCCAGTAGCCAAATGCTCTACACATCCTGTGGCTGAAGGTGGTTTGGTTTCTAATAAGATCCTTCTCAGTAAGGATGCCCCTAACTACACAATCACATACACAGTGAAGCTTAGTCTATAAAACAACTTGGGCAGCAGATGAAAAGGAGTGGCTTCCCCCAAACACCCCATCATCACCATTCTATGACCCTCCACGGAGTCAAAAGCCTTGATAATATCAGGTAATGCTTCAGCACTAACTTTCAAATGACTTAAAAGTCACAAAGATTATCAACATTTATATTTAATACTAAAATTTACATCCATAGCAAAATTAAAACAAATTATTTATTTTAGTTGAGCTCTGAAAGTTCTCTATACATTGGGATAATTTCTACTCCTGCTACTTTATTAATATTACTCTCCCACATGTCCCTAAAGTAAAGGATTACATTTAGGAAACACACGGCGTTACGAAAATTTAGACTTTTGACCATTCAAAGAATTAGTAGACATTTGCAAGTTACTCTCATATTTCCCATTCTAGTTTTCACCACGTTTTTAGGACACAGTCAATATGTTCTGTGTCCCAGCATGAACAGGACTTTGAGAGGACAGGAGAAATTAGTCCCTTTGTAAAGGTAAAGTACTTTAGGTACACCAAGGCACTGGCATCTTATCCCTCCACTTGAACATACAGAGTCCCTTTTCAAAGAAAGTGGCAGTAAAGGCACAGATTCAAGGATCTAATTAGTTAAACTATGATCTTGATAGGAAATGAGCAAAAACCTGTGGGCATGGATAAAAGAGGTCTAGACAGGAAAAGCCCCTCATGGTATCTGGAATGTTAAGACCTGGGACGGACTCTACACAGACCAGACTAAATATTACCTAAAACAAAAGCAAAAACAAAATATAACAGAAAACAACCAAATAGACAACTAAACAAAATTTAAAATGCCCTTTCGAAAGATCAGCCAGGCCATATTTCCCACAAGATAACTTAATTTTCACTACAATAATTTAGTTACTCTGGTCTTATTTAAATTTATGTGCAGGCATTTTCTTGAGGTGCATTTGGCAAAGTAGGGCAAATATGGACTGCCGTGTCCATGAAAAGAAGATATTCTTACAGCTGAGCACACGATTCATATCAAATCAGAGGCCAAAATACCTGCATAGCCTTGGAAAGTAGGAGCATTGGATCAATAATATAGCAACTTCCTCCCTGATCCTACCTACCATTAAATATAGAAAAGCCTTTGGTCTGAGAGGCTTTGCCTATCATAAGCATTCCCCACATAGCAAATCTGAATGAATCAGTAGAACATTTTCAATTCTTAACTACTAGTACAATATTTACATTCTTTTAAGTTTACTGGAATTATTATTTTGACTACTAAAAATATAAGCCCTCTCTATGTCACTCAGCCATAAGGCATTCAAATCAACCAGAGTTCTTAGTCAAAGCTGATTAAGAGGTGAATTAAGATGAGTTAATGGAATAACAAAATATTTGAAGATAAAATATCTAAGTGTATACACAGAAATATAATTGTAACACTTACCTAATAGCCCCTTCTCCAGAGTGAAGGTTTTGTTTGTAAACATACATTCAAAAGCCACAATGTGAAAAATCTTATTCACTGTGTTGTGAGTCCCAACTATTCGAATATACCTGGGGGTAAAAAGAAAAGAAAATCTGTTGAAGAAAATGAGCTTCCATCGTAACGAATCCAAAGATAACAGAATAAGATACACTATGTAAACATACAGTGTACCAGAGCATGGACTAAAGGAGACTCTGAATTGGCTTCAGACTCTGTACCTGCTCCTTAGGGCTAGCTCCAACTGAGCCTGGAAGAATTACAGCAAAATTAAGGAGGTACCACTTTCCAGAGAATGAAGTAGAACTTAGATTTGGTTTACCTAGAAAATCAAACCAGGGACTGTTCAGCTCAGCCCCTGAATGTCAGTACAATTGTATATCCATGAGACATTTACACTGGAGAATAACAAACAGCTTCTATCCTTGCTTTGTGGTTAGGAATGTGCCTGTGCACAGGTGCACAAACACACACAAAGTCAAATGCTTTCCAACTCAATGAAAGCTTTCATCCATTGGATGAAATGCATGAAATCAATACTGCTTTCTTGTTGAAAGTAAAAATCCACGGAAACTACTGAAAACCACTCACAGCTTCTTGTATTTTAATATTGCTCCTGAATCCTTGTTAGGAAGTTGACCCAATATACTTACGCCAGCCCCCCACTTGACTGCTGGGAAGCCTTCTCCTGACCAGAGGAAGTGATCAGCAGAGGTGACCCAGCCTGCTCTGCAGCCTCCCTCCTGGCCACATGGATCTGGCATCTGCATACAGTGCAGAGTTTCACAGGGCAAGTCTCTAGCCTCTTGGCCTGTTCACCCTCTCTGACAAACAAGCATTAACCTTGGAGCAACTTGCTCCTTTCACTCTTCAAAGGGATCTGACAGTTCACAGGTTAATGAACAGACAAAGTTACTCTTCTGAGTGTCACACAATTCCAGAGGGAATGTAATGTGCCACACACAGTCTTACTGGAATTCAAAAGAAGAATAAGAAAAAAAATAACTAGATTAACTGATAACGCTCTCTCAAATTATGAACTATTGTGCTCTGAAGGATGGGGCACACTAAACGAACAGATTTCAATTAGGTGATGACAGACTGGGCAAGGTTTTAGTAATATCTTCCCTCCGCTATGTAAAACAACCTTCCACTTAGATGATACAATTTTACGTCTGAGTTAATCGCTGTTCACTAATTCGGTAATTTCCTTACATATCTCATTATTCCAAGTTAACTGTATAATGTAAAACGCCAATTGTAAAAATTCACATAAAAGAGGCTATATTTGGGGGTTTTGTATCGTGGGCTATTTTCCCTCCTGTTTCTTCCAACCTGAATCTCACCGCACTCCCCGTGCACCTCATTTAGCCACCTGCTCCTTGACACGAGCTGATCGCTCATCTTCATAACCGACAGTAATGCTTTCTCCTGGACTGGCTGCTCAGTGTTCCCACATCCACTGCAGGGAGACACCGCTCTTCCTGTGTGGAGAGTCAGGGCAAACTGCGGTGCACACCAGAGCCCTCTGGGTAAGCAGGAGGTTGGCCCTGATCTGTTCTTTCAAGCCCTCAAGGCAGACGGAAGGTGCTGATTTTACTGGGTTTGGGTGGGTGGGTGGGGTGCATTTAAAATAAGTTCTAAATGATCTGGGTAGAACGGACTGTGTGGTTCTTTACTGTAGGCAGTAACAATCTCTCTGGGCTTTCTGGAGCGGAAGGGGTGTGTTAAGCCTGGCACCTTGGCCTGAATCTAATTTTGCCCATTTCCTTATACCCACAGGAACTCAACAAGCATAGCACTTTCAACCGCACATAGTCGTGACAGTCTGAGTGCTGCTGTCTGCAATCGTGGAGGGAATGGAGGGAATGTGGTTTGGTGGAATTTGATCAGATCATTTTCCTGTTCCCTAGGTCAAATCTCTCAAAGGAGAGATAGCTCTCCTAATACTGTGCAAGGCAGAGGAGCCAGGAAGGGACTAATAGGGCCCTTCCCCACTGGCAGTTCTTAAAGTTAAATAGTTCAGGCTGACCTAAGGGGATGCAGTAATGTCCGTCCCACCCCCCCACCCCCGCCTTTCTTTTCAAAACATTATATGGAACCAGGCTCTCCTAGTTTAGACAACAGTCATTTCCCAAATTTTACCCTGGTGCAAATATCAGGAGTGGGAGAAAATATAGACCCTTCCCCTCCCTTGTCCCCCAGTTACAGAAACTGAAAATAAAAAATTGTACTGGAATACATTTTACAGCCTTAATGATAGTGTTTGTGATAACTAACAAGATAATATGTATGACTGCAAAAGCATTGAGAGATGCCTCCAGATAAAAAGTTCTATATACATGAAGATAATGTTATCTCTGCTGCATAATCCTGAGGTCAAATTAGCAATTCACCACTGTACATCACACTTCCTGATTAGCCTGTTATATGGAACGCTCACAACAAGTTTAATTATTCTAGTTCTACAATACTTTCTAAGTCTACATAAAATTATAGCCTAATTTACAAAAATGGCATGAAGTCCTTACTCAAATACACATTAAAAAATGGTAACAAAGTCACAAGAAAGAAGCCATGCTCCTTTTCTCTAGCAAGGAATTGTTTAGCATAGGACTCTATCCTTTACTGAAGATCTAGATCTAGAAATAGCATACAGGCTTTAACTAATCCCCCAACTTCAGTGATGGGTAGGGCAGCCTGGAGCTCTCCATTAAGAACACAGGGGCCCTGTCCAGCTCAGGGGAAGGCATGCCCTGATCCATGAGCAACGTCTAGAGGAAGAAGGAGGCAGCACCATCAAGGTACCATCTTTGATCATAAGCAGATTTCCTTAATGGGGCTCCCAAGGGAACATGCTGGAGGCAGAAGTTATCACTATCCAAGCTACTGAAAAATCCAAGGGCTGGTGATGGGAGGGAGTCCTCTCTCTCTTTCCTTTTTTTTCTTTGAAAAACAAAACAAAACTTGCTTCTGGGTCACAACACCTAAACAGGAGAAGCAGATGCCACATTTCTGTCACAAAAGATTCTGAATAAGAGGTAAAACTTAAGCTTTTTTTCTTTCAACATCATCTCTCCAATGCACACTCAGACTCTGATTTAACCTGATAATAAGGACAGTGGCAGCTAGTGACTTCATCAGTGTGCAGAGAGGGGCGCTGCTGAAAAATATGACAGCTATCCTTTGTTCTCTCTGAGGTCCTCAACAGCAGCTCAGACAGTTGGAAGATAATTAAAACTTAAACAGTGCTGAGAAAGGCAGATATGCAACAGATTGGCCATTTCCTTTTTTTTTTTTTAATTTAGTGTCTTTTAAAAAATGTATTTATTTTATTTATTTGTTTTTGGCTGCGTTGGGTCATTGTTGCTGAGTGCGGTCTTTCTCTAATTGCGGTGAGCGGGGGCTACTCTTCGTTGAGGTGTGCAGACTTCTCATTGCGGTGGCTTCTCTTGTTGCGGTGCGTGGGCTCTAGGTGCACGGGCTTCAGTAGTTGTGGTTCGCGGGCTCTAGAGCGCAGGCTCAGTAGCTGTGGCGCACGGGCTTAGTTGCTCCGTGGCATGTGGGATCTTCCCAGACCAGGGCTCGAGCCCGTGTCCCCTGCATTGGCAGGTGGATTCTTAACCACTGCACCACCAGGGAAGCCCCAGATTGGCCATTTCTGATGAGGATCAATGCTGTTCACATGAGCCCTGGTGCAACAGTCTGTTTCCAATATTCTCCTCCCTTCCCTGTGTTAGCTGTCTTCTAGTCACTGACAAAGACTGGGGCCTCAACACAGTTCAGAACAGGACGTTTCAATGCAGCAGTTTCTAGGAGCTATAATATTGTGGGTGAAAAGAGATTCTTCTTTAAAAAAAAATGAAACCTAAACCTTCCAAGGATAGCACTCTGAAATTGAAAGGCACTATAGAGTTTTGAAGTACTTGCTTTAGAGTCTAACCGGACCAGGTGTGTAGCCCAGCCCCATCACTTAATTAGCTGTGTTACTTCGGGGAAAAAAATGTTTTAATCTTTTCTGAACCACAATTTCCTTCTCTATAAAATGTCAGTACACAAGCCTTATATGATATTTAAACAAGATAAATATTTAAAGTGTCTAATGCAGTGCTTGGCAGAATAGAGTATCATTAAATAGAAATGCAAAGAGTAGGTCGCTGGAGGCGGCATTTCTTTTGGACTTCAAGACTGCTGGTTGTCTGGGAGAGCATTCCTAACTCTGCTTGTTAAAGTGGTGCATCCGCATCCATGAAGAGGCAGGCCCGAGGATGGACTTCAAGAGCACGGGCAGGGGCTAGTCCTTACCCTTAGGGCCCCACAGTATATGTAGAAAGAAGCTACATTCCGAACGCAGATTACCTGGCTCTATGTTATTTCCTGCTTTAAGCCCCTCGTCTTTAGAAAAGTCTATTTTAAGTGTTCTTGACCTGACTCAGCTCTGCATAAGGAAACAAGGGAAGAATCTTTTGCCCATATTTGGTCCAGCTACCCAGGCCCACAGAAGAGTTTCTTTTTTGTGCTAACTCTGGAAGTTTGGAGTTTCAAGAAAAATAGCACTTCTTACAAAGAAACATCATAACACTGTGAACTAGAACATTTTTGCCTTGGAGATTTCACTGTATTCCCTGCCTGTCTTGGGAAGGTACTACAAATTCCTATTCTTAACCTATCTTTCCAGCATTTCTTGTCAGGACGCTACCATATTTCATTTCTAAGTCACATACAATACATCTTTAACAAACTGAATATAGAAAAACAGCAACTTGTACACCCTCACTTTAAACCCCTTGGAACCCTCTAGTCTTGGTAGTCTTTAGCCTACTTGTGGTTACAGTTGATCCTTAACCTTTGCCTCTAGTTATAAGATCATCTAACACCGTACTGAGCAGGTTCTACTACAAGATAAAATAGAATTCAGCAAAAAAATTTTAAATGAGCTCTCAAGGGATCAACTAAAGCCAAAAATCCATCAGAATTTTATTCTTTGGTAAACAAAGTTTTATTCTCAAATCGAACTTCACATTCTTGGGTTAAACAAAGATGCTTGAGAAAACCAGGGTTGGCCTAAGAC